GAGCGGGGCGCCGCGCTTGCCCCCGGGAGCGTCTTCAGCACCGCGGCCAGCGCCACGCGGCGTCCCGCGGGCGGGGGAGGGCTGGCGGGCACCCCCGTGGCCTCCACTGCAGCGCCGGCGGCAGCTCCTCCGGGGGCTTGGGGCTGCTTTCCCCAGCACTTCTGCATGAGGGGCGCAGTCCGGGCCACGCAGCCCTGCAGCCTGCCCCAAGCCGGGAGCTGCCTGGTGGGGAGCCCCCGCCCTGCTTGCATTGGTTATTGAAGAGGCCGGGATAGAGAGGCCCTCTGGCTTGTGGCTGGGCTTGGAAGATGCTTCTCGGCCTTCTGGCTAAGGTGAAGCAGGGCTCGGGGGCTAAGATGAAGGAGGGCTCGGGGGCTAAGATGAAGGAGGGCTCGGGGGCTAAGGTGAAGCAGGGCTCAGGGGCTAAGATGAAGGAGGGCTCGGGGCTAGGACTAAGCAAGACTCGAGGGCTAAGATGAAGCAAAGTTTGGGGACCAAGACCAAGCAAGTCTTGGGGGGCCAAGACCAATAAAGGCTTGAGAGCTAAGATCAAGCAAGGCTCAAGGGGCTAAGACCAAGCAAGGCTCGGGGTCATCCAAAGTTCAGGATCTCCAGGCTTGGGGCTTGCACGTAGGACACCTGCCTGGATTTGGGAAGTATCTGAAGTCCCAGACCAGTGGATCTTGGAGGAAGGATACATGCCCAGTGTCAGAGCCACACAGGCTTAACCATTTGAGCTCTGCTCATTCAAATTTTGGAACTTGACTCTTGGGCTTTGCCCAAATGAATGTGGAGCTGATTTGGTCTTGAACAAGATTAAAAGAAATGCTGATGAGGGGGTGTTTAGAGGGACGAGTTGCCACACAGGGAGCTTTCAAGCTTGTTCTGTAAAGATTGTGTGTAATGAAAGCTCTATTTAATATTTTAACTTATTATTTTATTAGAGGAATGCAGCTTTCTTGAGGAGATGCTTGGGGAATAGATGCTGGGTTGTTTGTTTTTTTTGGGGGGGGGGTTAGAGGTGGGGGGACAGAGAGGAAGCCACGGCTAGATGTTTGTAAGTGAAGCTTCCAGGACATCACAGCTGCTGTGGCTGAGGGTCAGAGAGCCTTTGCTACTGTGTTATGGAGCCCCATGGTTGTAGCTTGGATGCAAGGATGGAGATGTCTATAGCTGGATAGTCTAGCACAAGGTCCAAGCTATTTGGGCAGGGGAAGGCCCTTTTGTTATTGTTCTTGGAGGGTAGACAAGAAGCTCCTTCTGTTGCTGCTGTTAAAGAGTATAAAGGTCCTGCTGCTTCCAGGAGGGGAAGAGAGATGCAGAGGCTGCTCAAAAAAAAAAAAAAAAAAAATGGAAAATGCAGCTGGTCCTGAACAACCCATAAGAAGCTTCTGTTGTTTAAGGGTGGTTAAAAAAAAAAAGCTTGCAAAGCTACCTGTGGTAGAAAGAAGACAAGATAAAATGTATTTTTTTTTCCCCAAATGATACAACCAAAAGCAGACATGCTTGTTTTCTGATGTAATGCAGGCTTACCTCTGTCTTCATGAAGTAGCTCCTCCCACATGTAGATGTTAGGTGTTGTAATAGATCAAGCATTATATAATAAAACATAGGATGATGCTCAACCTTGCCATTACTCCATTCCAGAATGACGTCTCAAATATTTTTGTAGCATGTTCAATCATATTTAATTTATGGTATGCAAAAGCTGTCCAAATATGCATTGCAGTTTAAAAGCCAAAACATGCAAGCCTTGTGCACACTTAATAGTGAAATGAATTGTGTGTGAACATTGCAGAATTTTTGTCCATTGAAAGCGAGTTTGTTGGTCATTCTTCTCGGTAATTGGCATGCTATGGTAAGTGTCTAGGTTAACGTGATGTTTTTTGGTGGAAAAATCCAGGTGAGTGACTTCATAGTGGTCTCTTGGGCTTCCTCTGAGGAGTTGAGATGTATTCCTCAAACACACCAGTCCCAAAGGATGTTTAAATTGAAATTCTTTATTGTGTAACTCCTAATTTTGGTGTACAGTCTAAACATGTACATAAAAATGGGGAAAATATTAAAATAGGTTCTGTACCTTATTTGTTGTCCAAGAGCTCATATCTCTTCTGCTAACTTTGAATTGAGTTGTTATGACCATTCTGTATAGATTGTTTAGTTTCTATATGGAATTCTCATTTTCCACATTTTGCCGTAATATAAACCCCTTGTTTCCCTTTATCCATCACAGATTGGCTGTTCTTCTGAGACTGCAGCCCTCAAGATGAAGTTCTTGCTAGCAGTTCTCTTTTTCATTCTGTTCTCCTTATGGATTGAAGAAGTCTGTTCCAAAGAGAAATCTTCAAAGAAAGGGAAGGGGAAAAAGAAGCAATATCTATGCCCATCGTATGTACCTTATCCCTTTGTTTTATACTTTAGTCTTGAGGGGATCAGTGGAGGTTTTTAAATGTAGAGATTTTAAAGTAGAATCTGATCTTTCCTGCTGAAATTACATAGTTATTTAATAATTTTGGGAGGTGAGAAATGGGAGGATTGTTTTTTGATCAGTGACATATCTTACATTATCAATGAGCATTAATCTCTGCAGTAGATCCTTCTGAGTTTCCTTTTAAATTTCTTGGGGGAAAATAAAACTGCTGAACCCTGCCAATTTTTTAAATTTAAATGTTAGCTGGTGATTTCAGCCCAATGACCTCATATTTTATAGACATTGTAAATTAGCCTTCTAATTTTGTGCTGTCAAACACTGAACCTAAAATATACACATTACAATGAAAAAGACCACAAAGATTATGCTAAAATCTATTTCTTGTGTTAGATAAGTTTTGTACTGCTGTTAGGATAGTGCATGTCCTGTTCACATTCTTAATATGATATGCTTTATATCTTTGCATCAATCACATACATATATATATAGTTTGTATTAAAGTAAAGTTGATGGTTGCTGTAAAAAAGTACTGGCACATGCACCCATGAAACAGTTTTACTGTAAATATAGAGAAATGATAAATTTCAATTGCCCCCTGAATATATAAAGATCAATAGCAGAGAACACAGACAGCAAAAGGCAGATGACCTCAGAGTGCTTCAGAGTACAGGGGCCCACTGTTTCTAATGCCAAACTCATTTTATATTTGAACTGACAAGGTTGAAAGAGTTATCAATGAGTACAAAAAGTAACCTACCCTAAGTGATAAATGTGGGTGAAGTGAAAATTAGCTGCAGTCATTTTTCCTCAGACCATGAAAGAGAGGCATGCTAAAAAGTCAGGTTAACTGCGCAGATAAAGAGAAAAGACCTATTAAGCAGAAAAGCACGTTTTAAATAACAGACGTAGGCATTTCCTAAAGGCTCAGAAACTTCTATCTATGGAAAGATTTCATGGTTATTTTGTTTGGATTCTAAAGAGTCCACCATTCTGTTGGACTTGGGAACCTAAGGATAAAAGTGTTGGACTTGGGAGCCTTGTTTTCCTGACACATGATGCACAGCTTGTACTTTTTATGAATTATTATCAATATCTGGCAGTATTGTAGTACTACAGCTGTCATGTAGTACTTTTCACTGGTATGTGTCCTAAGGCTTTACACAGGAGAAAAATATTCTCCCTATGTTACCGATGTGGAAACTGACTTGTTGAAGTCACCCAGCAGTGTAGTGGCAACATCTGGACTAGAACCTGAGTCTTCCAAGTATCTTTCGAGTTCTTTATCCCTCCATTGAAATAGAATTGGAATTGAAATATTAATATTTCACTTTGTCTTGATGATATTTTTTTAAAAGCATGTGGTACTTCCCGGCATACTGTTTACATTGTTGAAAGTACATGTGTAGTTTTTTGTAATGCTGAAAAATAAATGTGTGCACTAAATAATCTTAGATGCAGTGCAGTATTATGTCAGGTTATTAATAATATCCACTTAGGCCTCATTCTAAATTCTTGTGCTAATATTAGCAGCACAGTAATTTGTATGTATTAGGTTTTGTGTGAGTTCGTGCCGAATTATATAAGGACTGAATTAAGCACAGGCTCAGACCTGGATGTTCAATTTAAAACTTTTATTGTTTCACAAAGTCATAAACTAAGGAGGTTTGTTGGTTCATGAGGTTCCCAAATCAGGCCCTTGCTTTCTAACCCGAAGGCTAGGTGCGGCTGCCCAATTCAGTAGTCTCAGAACTGGTCAACAGCTCATTT